TTTAAATCAATTCATGGGTTTTTTGAAAAATTATAGTGACTTAAAGTTTGCATGTACTCTTATGGTAATCAGCAGTAACCAAAAGAAAACTTTCTGGTATTTGGTATGCATGTGCGAAGTTGGAAGAAACAACTGACAAGCCTATACAGTCTGAAATTTTTGATGCTTCTTAGAATATATACGGGCGAGTTAGTTTTATTGATAGAAACTCTTGTCACATCTTCTTATCTGGTTTTTATCGAGATTGGGAGATGATAAAATATCATGAGATATGTAATCAACGATTCAATCATGTTCGTTAAAGTGTTTTGTTGATGCGTAATAAATAAAAACGTTCCAATGAATGACGTAGAATTCTTTTATGTTAGAAAGGCGTATTTTATTTAAAACAGTTCTCACTAGCATTTTATTCATACGCATCTACATAGAAAACAAAATTATCACATTCATAGAAATTAGTGAATTATGCTGTATAATTGCACCGAGATGAAAAAATTATTGCACATTTCATAACGTAAAAAAGGAGAGTGATTATTTCGCGCAAACTCCATTCGACGTTCCGTTAACTATTCCTTTCGTTTTGAAAGAAGGATGAGGATTTTTCCTCGGTTCAAGTCTCATCCAGTACCCGTTTTCTGGTACTGTATTAAAGAATCCCTTTTTCAATCGTAATGAGCCTTGCGTCTTCGACCCAGCCTTTATGTCGAATTTAGCGAGGAGATAACAGAGCAGTACTTTCATCTTTATCATCGCGAAACGCGAACCGATGCACATTCTAGGTCCGGCTCCGAACGACAGAAACATACACGAATTCACGAGCTTCTTTCCATCATCCATAAATCTTTCCGGCTCGAAATTCTCCGGGTTTTCATAATAATCCGGATTCATATGAATTGGCATCACCGGAATCCAAACAATCATTCCTGGTTCAAGCGTGAAAGGTTTGCCACCAGGTAAAGCTGGTGGAAGCTCAAACTTTTTCATGCAAACTCTGTCCAGGTTCGGTAGGATCGGGTAGAACCTCATCGTCTCGGTGATCACTGCGTCCAAATACTTCATGTCGCGTACTACTTCATAAGTAAACTCGCCGTCGGTCTTCTCCAATGCCTCGTCGATTTCTTGTTGCAGTTTCACCTGAACTTCGGGATGTTCGATCAGCATCTGCGTCACCCAACACATTTGAGTGGATACGGTGTCCAGACCGCCGAAAAAGAAGCCGAAAGCGTGCGCTGCCATATTTTCTATACTAAAATTGTTGTCCTTCTTTTGCTGTATCTCCATCATCTGCTGGAGGAAGTCGGGCCGGGAATGTCCGTGCTCCTTTCTGTTTTTCACCTCGTCGATCACAACATTAGTGAAGAACTTGGAGACGTGCGCCTCTAACAATTTTATGTTGAAGAATGCCGCGAGCTTAGGTACATTTCTTTGCAACAAGAATATCCATGACTTCTTAAGGGTAGCAAAATTAGTTCCGATTCTACCGTAGACGTAAAATATGTTCTTCGGTTCCTTCACGGTGTCTATAGTGTACCCATACACGCAGCTGGCGATCACGTCGTTCGTGTACATGGTCAAGAGATTCTTCATCTCTATTTCGCGATCCTTTTCCGGCAGTTGGACCAGCGTATCCGTGAATCTTGCCCCGTATGAAGACATCAAATGGAACATGTCCCTCAGCTTGCTAGAAGTGAACGAGGCGGTCAGCAGGTTCCTCTGATGTTTCCACTCGTCGCCCTTTATACTGAATAACATGTTAGCCATCAGGGGATCCGTTTCTTTGGTCACGAACGGCCGATGATCTTGAAAATGCTCGAAATTTTTGATGATCACCGCTTTGATGAGATCCATGTCGCGCAACAGGATTATTGGAGTGGTAAATTCGTAAAAACCGACGTACTTCGCGTTCGGTTCTTTGTCGTAGTGCTTCCGCAGCAGCTCGTGTATCGTGCATTTTTGAGTCATCACGGGGCCCATATTGCCAATGAAAGGCGCTGCTGGAATGTGCGGAATACCATGCTTCTCAAAGAAATCCGGTTTTCTGCTGATATAGTAATAAATGGCGATGGCTATTGCCACCAGCGCGAGGCCGACGGATAGATACATCTCGACGGCAGGATGTCCGCAATTAGTCTCGTAATAACGCTCTCCGTGTGTAGTTGATCGAGAACTGAACGTCTGTCTGATAACTGTCTTTATATATTTAGTACTATACGCCGCTTGGAATTGGAATCAGTTGTTCTTATCCCCCCCCCCTCTACATTTCAAAACAGCTGCATCATGTATCTCACTGCTGTTAATCATTATGCGTTTTCATATGAGCGGGGGCTGCAATCAGAACTCCAACACAGAGTTTCTGAGAGAAATCGTACGAGATCGACCATGTCCTCAGCGTGTCCATTTCGCGGGTGACTTTCGAACAATAGAACGGTTTGAAATTTTTCGATGCGGTCATCCATCAAACGCTGAGGATGTATACCATCATACCGGTTACTGATAGGAAATGCATAAAACGATCCGACTTACCACCGGCCTTGCCGGGTTCGAATCCTTACGTTCAAGAACACCGTCATGTAATGCTGCCCATTAATGCCATCAACGGGATCCAAAATACTTTGAAAAGCTGAATTTTTGTAAACTTTTGGAACTTTTTAAATCAATAATAAAATATATACAATCTATTTAGGTGTAGATCTTATCACAAACAGAAATAAATATCGATAATAGCACTAAAAATCTGTAATAATGCATATTTATTTTTTTATATTTTGAGACAATGAAATATACAATCAACTATCGTAGACATACTTATAAAAATCTACTGAGTCACACATTCACATACATAGTTATACTGATAAAAATACAAAGAGTCAAAAAACTCTGGTCTGGCTTGCCACTCAGATAAATTTCTTTACATAACAAACGAGGAAAATTCATATCTATCGTGCCTTTAATGGTAACCGTAATTCTGGATGAGCTTAAAAATAGAAATAAGCGCGTACTGATTTACGTTAGTGTCCAAGCTACTTGCATTAGAAGGCTTTGTCCCTGCTCATGTATTAACAGAACGACGTTCACACTGTCAACATCACATTCGTTTTACAATCGTCAAATTACCGCACATCGTTACACAAAACAATATTTGCCTAACAACATAACCCATTAGCCAGAGAGGGATGAGGATCTTTTCTGGCCTCTAACTTTAGCCAGAATCCGTTTTCAGGCATTACGGCCGTGAAACCTTTCTTCAATTGCATCGGAATATTCGTTTTCGCTCCTGCTTTCACATCGAATCTGGCGAGAAGATAACAGAGCAGTACTTTCATTTTTATCATTGCGAACCGCGAACCGATACACATTCTAGGCCCGACGCCGAACGGCAAATATATACACGAGTTCAAGAGCTTCTTTCCATCCTCCATAAATCTGTCCGGATCGAACTTGTTTGGATTTTCATAATAATTAGGATCCTTGTGGATAGGCATAACCGGAACCCAAAGATTCATTCCCGGTTCCACCGTGAAGGGTTTACCACCAGGTAATGCTGGTGGAAGCTCGAATTTCTTTATACACACTCTGTCCAGAAACGAGACCAATGGGTAGAACCTCATCGTTTCAGAGATCACAGCGTCCAAATACTTCATTCCGTGTATCACTTCGTATGTCACGCGGCCGTTGGTCCTCTCCAATCCTTCGTCTATTTCCTTCCGCAGCCGCGTTTGAATATCTGGATATTCGGCCATTATATGAACCACGAAAGCGACCTGCGAGGACACGGTGTCAAGGCCGCCGAAGAAGAAGCCGAAAGCGTGGTATGCCATGCTGTCCAGTGTGAAACTTCTCCCGCTTTCCTTCTTATTATTCGCGTCCATCATCAACTGGATCATGTCCGGCCTGTAGATACCATTTTTCTCTCTCTCTTTCACTGTGTCGGCGACTATATTCATGAAGAACTTGGAAATGTGCGATCTTATGAAGCTTATCTTAAACAGGCGTGCAACCTTGGGCGCATTTCTGTGCAGCAACATCACCAATGTCTGTCTGAAACCGGTAAACGTGGTAGCGCTTTTACCGTAGACGTACAGTATGTTCTTGGGATCGTTCATAGTGTCCATATTGATACCGTATACGCAGCTGGCTATCACGTCGTTCGTATACAACGTCAGCACGTTTTTCAACTCAATTTCTGGCTCTTTTTCCACCAATTTCGACAACGAGTCCGTGAAACGTATTGCGCATGCTGTCATCAGTTCGAACATGTTCTTGATCTTGCTGGACGTGAACATGGGGGACAGCATGCTTCTCTCATCCTTCCATTGATCACCTTTCAGGGAGAACAGATTACCACCGAACAGCGGATCTGTTTCGCTGTCCACAAACGGACGATGATCTTGAAAATACTCGAAACTCTTCGTAGTCACGGTCTTGATTAACTCCATGTCGCGAAGCACTATTAATGGTGTGGAGAATTCGTAGAAACCGAAGTACTTCGCTTCTGAGAAAGTATCATATGGTTTTTGCAACAACTGATGCATGTCCTGTCGATGAAAAATAAGAGAACCCATATTTCCAAACACTGGCGTTGGCGGAAAATGTGGTATTCCATGTTTCTCGAAAAGAACTGGTTTTTTCCCAAAGTAGTAGCAAAGGGCAATAATTATTGCCGCCGTCGAGAAAATAATGGACAGGTACACTATCATGGTTCGAACTGTTTGCTAACGAGTTTCTTTTGACACGATGTTCACTGTACGTATTCGTTGAGAGAACTAAGTCATACTTATCAACTGCAATGCTTACATATGGTTGGAAATACTACGTATTACCGTCACGCCAGCAGAAGTGGCTCTCATCAGTTGATTTCAGCTCCGTATCTATTATATGTCTACATGTATTACCGTGGCTCACAATTTTTTTTAATATTTTTTCATCATGATTTAATGCGAAAACAGCCGACTAATATCGACCCAAAAATTAATGTCGTCAATTATGAAAGTGTTTCATGATCAATATTTTCTCACCTTTTAACCTTTCAGTCAGTGTTAGATATTTCTTAATCTATTTTGATAGGAAATAAAAGTTTAATGCGACAAAAGAATTGTTAAATATGCATCTATTAAATTTGCTTGATAGCTGCTGAACTAAGGTTGATGGAATTTAATGGTAAACGCGTACATACATATGTATAGTAGACATGCCGTAAGAAGTTATGTAGCATAAAGATTGTGAGAGGCTATAGATATATTTCTTAGCGACGGTTACGTTATTTAACGCTACATTGAACGAAACGTTGCTTGCTGTTCAGAATGTGTAAAACAACATTTGATTTCCGACTTTCAATCGCCTGATATTTATCATGATTAACGTCTACTACGCAGTATGCCGGTAAAACAGTTAGAATGATAAATAAAAAATGAAATTTTGTTGTTACGCGCTACGAAACATCTAAAATAAATAGTAGCCGCAACTGTAATAACAAGAAGTATTATACTTCATACACATTCTATTTATAGTATAGATTTAAGTGCGTCATAAAAGTTTGATAGGCAGTTATTTATCAATTGAAGAGACTTTGTTCTGTGATAGTTACGGAAAGATAGTGTTCTGTCACGCGCGCGTATTCTGTCATTCGTACGCCGCTACTAAGGATGTGTAGACTATACACTTAAACAATTCTAGCATGTTGAATTTGTTATTGTAGATTCCTATCATTATTAAAAGGCTACCTGCAAAATTTTAGATCAATTCATAGGTTTTCTGAAAATTTATAGTGACTTAAAGTTCTCATGTATTTTTATGGTAATCAGCAGTAACCAAAAGAAAACTTTCTGGTATTTGGTGTACATGCACGAAATTAGAAGAAACTACTGACTTGAG